TTTTTAATTTTTTTCACTTAACTTTTTAATATCAACATGTATTTGTGATGTTGTACAATATAGTTGGTTTTCTAATTTTTTTTTTATAGATCAATCTATTACGACTTTTACATTTAACAATCTTCAATTCTGAAAAAAAAAAAAAAATTCACAAAGCTAGGTGATTCCCATTGCTGCTGTAATGCTCATGCCAGTTTTTTTATGTTAGGGAATTTATCATTACAGATGTATTTTGTAAAAAACTGAACTTTGTCATCTGCCTCAAACATATATTTCAATTCAGATGATGACTGGAGATCTATTAAATCTATCTGCAAATTTTTTGGAGCTTGTTCCACAACAATGACAAATGGACATAAGAAAATATTAAATATATTCTCATAAATTTTTAAATATGAAAATCCTTCTTGAAATTCTCTTAGTAAATATACCATATTTACTCGCATATAAGACAAGGTTTTTATTCATTTATCACAGCTTCAAATTCCTAGGTTGTCCTATATGTGCGAGTGAAAGATTCTTTGCGTTTTTGCAAATAATTTTTGTGAACCATGTATTCACATTTTTTACCGGATGCTCACACTCGTATTTAAAANTTACTTCTAAGCATTTAATATTGTAATATTCTAATAAATTTTTAAATATTAAAATCTCTCTTGAAATTCTCTTAGTAAATTAGTAATTTCTTGTGCATATTTAGAAAAATATTTTACCACTTTTAATTAAATTTATGTAATTTTGAAAGATGGATTGTAGTTTTTGATTTTAACTGACTTTCATAAATTTTGAGTTTTGCTATGAATGCTTTTATATTTTGATAATAGTCTGTGGTCAATTTGTTTTTACCTTGAAGCTGCTTATTAAGTTCATTTAATTTCATTGTGATATTTGTAAGTAAACATAAATCCAAAAGCCACTGTCCATTGCATAATTCAGGAACATTCTGGTCATTTTCATTCATACATTTTAAGCTTTGTTAAAAAAATATTTTAAAAGGCTGCACAAAAACATTGAGTGGGCCGCATGTGGCCTGCAGGTTGGACATGGTGGCTCTAGACTGACGTGTGTTAGATCAAAGTTTGATTAATCTGTATGTACATATAATCTATAAGTAAAGTATTAAGTGGACTCTTAGTTGTAAGATGTATTTCCTACAAACCTGTGATTGATTGACTCTCCCTGTCTAGAAATTCATTTCTATGAATATGATTTTATAGATTTTTTTTGATATTGTATTTATGTAGGAAATAAACCAACAATCAATGCTTTACACTACAATTAGAAATATTCTACTGTGATTAAAAAGTATCAGGAATGGTTCATTTAAACTACACATGTGCAAGAGGGTGCTGTCATCATTTCTTCATCATTTATTATTACATTCAACTTTTAGCAGCAATTCATATGTCATTGTCTGTTTTCATTTGCAAATTCTAAAGTAAATCATTTTTCAAAATGTTGAGTGTAATTGTGAAAGAACAAGCATTAAATTTTGTTTTCAAAATAGAATTACTTCTACAAAAGCATTGGAAATGTTGCAAAAAGCCTTTGGTGATAATAATCTACCAAATGCAAGGGTTTTCCAGTGGTACAAGATGTTTGCGGAAGGCAGAGAATGCATTGCAGATGAACCACACTCTGATAGACCATCCACTTCAACTGATGAACAACACATTGCTTGAGTCAGAGATTTGGTGCCAGATGATCATCATTTAACTCTATTAGGGAAGTTATTGTTCCAGTATTATTTGGATCTTGTCAAGCAATTTAAAAAAATCATTTGGGTTTGTTTCTTGAGTCATCCTGAAAATGTTGAATTTTTTCAAAAACAACAATGTATTCAGATGGCTGAGGAAATGTTTTCTCAAGGTGAATCATTCTTAAAAATGCATCATTGTGGATGATGAAACACAGATCTATGCTTTTGACACCAATACAGCTCAACAATCAAGTGACTGGTGCTCAAAAGTTGAAACAAAAGAAAAACAAACCATGTCAAAGTCTGTAAAAAAATCAAGGTCATGTTGAGAGTTTTCTTTGATTGTCATGGTGTTGTGCATCACAAATTCCTCTTGACAAGCCAAACTATCAACAAAGATTATTATTTGAGCATTTTGCATCATTTCCATGAAGCATTTGGCAGAAAACAACCCTATTTGTGGTGAGAAAATACATGGATTTTGCATCACAATAATGCATCTGCTCACAATTCTCTTGTTATTCGTGAACTTTTGGCCAAAATTCAACAAATATGGTTCTGCAAGCTCCATATGCACCTGATATGACTTATTTTACAATTTCTTAGATGTTTTTAATTTTACACCAATAGTTTTTATTCAGTTTTTGTCTATCACTGCATTCAGAATTTCTAAACGAAAGGTGATAACATATGGCATTTTCTTCTAAAATGTCTTATTATAATTACAATGACTTCAAGTTATTAAAATTTACATTGATGAAGGTAAAAATCACTGCAATATTAACATTTTCAAAAATAGGTTGTGATTTTTATACCAAGTACAGTTTCTTCAATTACTACTATACAATTAAAGAAAATAAAATGAATCTCTATGAATATATAATCAGTCACATAAAATATCATTAAACTTAACTGTATTTTCACTGTAACAATTTTGTTCTTAACTATAACTTCAAACTTTTTATAAGAAAATTTTTGGTAATAATCCATATTCTCCATCAGTACTTAAGAGTAACTTTCTGAGACAAATGGTGGAAACAAAGTGATTAAAATCTTTAAGTGTGCAATTACAGTAAAAACAAATTGAAGATTTTTGCAAATTCAACTACAAGGAAGAAAAGTTTAAAGTTGAAATAGATCTTGAATATACTTTTAATTCTTGATTTAATTATGTTTTTTGTCCAACAAATAATAAAATTTATATAATCTTTCTATATCAAAAATACATTCAAAGAATATAAATTGTACATACAATTACAGTAAGACCCCGATTAACACTGATTTGATATAACACATTCTGCTCAAAGCCTAAAAGACAGCTCAAAATTTATGCTGATTCAAATTATCGTGGCATTTGATTAATTCATATATAATATGATTATACCCAAACATGAACCAATCAGCAAAAGATGGCAATTCATCGTAGCACTATACTTTCCTTAGATCTTTGTTTGTTTGGTGCAATTTTGGAAATAATATATCATAGATGCCATAGTCAATATAGACTTTGCTTGGCAAGAATTAACTGATAAATGCATGAACAGAGTGTGAAATAATGTATGGCTGGAGGTATTCAAGAATTCTCAATGAGAAGAGCCTATCTTTGACAAAATTGTCAACCTAATCGATACAGCAGGACTAGGAAATGTAGATGAGCAGGATATTGAGAAGTGACTTGAGGTTTCTGATGAGAGCCTTACCAACAACAACCTTCAAGAACTGGCAGAATAAGAAATTCATGTAGAGAACTGGAAAATAGTGATTCTGAAAACAAAGAACCAAAAGAATTTCTCTACAGATTTCCTTAGTAAAAGTTTGGTAATAATAACTGAAATTGTTGATCAAAATTGGAGCGAATGATCCAGATTTTGAAAGGAGTGCAAAAGTAAGTCGAGGCAATCTGTATGCAATCTCCTGCTACCAACATTTCCTTAAGGTAAGAAAAAGAAAGCGACAAATAAAACTACATGACTTTATTGCAGAAAAAAAAAAAATCAAGAATTTCAGAAGAGCCAGAACTTTCATCACAAAAAATGAACTTTACATTTCTGTGTGCATATGCTTGTGTGTTATTTAACATATACTATTATGCAAATTAATATAAAAATAACGTAAAGTAAAATCTGTTTATTTTTGGTCACATGTTCCCCTTTCCCTATTTACTTTGTGTTAAAATGACCTTGTTTAATGCTGTTTCATTTAGTGCTTTGTCATCTATGAACATATCCCCTGCGTTAAGCGGGGTTTTACTGTATTACTATCTATACAGTAGGCCCTTAATTTAAAAGACTAATTGACCTTAATTAAAGGAAAAGGACTACTATTGTTGAATCTGATAAATCAAATGTGTTTTAAAAACATATATTAATAATGAACTTACAATAAACAGGAAGTATTAAAATGTTTTTATAATGTATAAGTATGAATAAAATATTACTATAATATACATTGAGTAATTTATACTCGTTGACTCATTGACCCAACCTTTCAGTATGTTCTATTTGTGAATAAAAAAAAGGTTATAAATTTTTCCTTTAGATCAAAACTTTCATCAATTAAGTCCAAAGTCTGTTAAAGTGAGATCTATTAAATCAAGTGTATTTTTTTCTGGATACATTTAAGATTAGGTGTAAATTAGATGGACATTTTTTTATAGTGGTTAATCATCCTGAATACCTTTTCTCCCCCGTCTTTAAACAATTTCTGTAACATAGTTGTTCACCAATTTTATATTATTTAATTCTAATATCTTTTGGCTAAAAATCCAATTTTATGGTCAGATTAGAATCACATTTTAAATATATGGCTAAAACAAAACACTTAATACTTTTTATTTAAACAGCACAGGTATTAACTTATTTGAAAAAGTTTATAGCCAAATTTTATATTTAAAAATCTGTAAAAATCATGAGAAAGTAGCAAACATTAAACTATTTGAGAAGTCAATTCTTTCTTTTTCTAATATCTTTTGGCTAAAAATCCAATTTTATGGTCAGATTAGAATCACATTTTAAATATATGGCTAAAACAAAACACTTAATACTTTTTATTTAAACAGCACAGGTATTAACTTATTTGAAAAAGTTTATAGCCAAATTTTATATTTAAAAATCTGTAAAAATCATGAGAAAGTAGCAAACATTAAACTATTTGAGAAGTCAATTCTTTCTTTTTTGTAAATTATGGCAATGTTGAAGTTTTATATTATAAATAATTTTCAGATTTATAAAAACAAATAATACATGTAGTAGGAAATAAATTTATAAGAATAAATAATATTTATTTAAAAATGAAAAATAAATTACCTAATAACTTGTACTAAAATCGGAGGATCTGTTGATCCAACAAGTGTAATTATTTGTTCACTAAATAAACATAAATTCATTATTATTAATTGTTTAACATTTAATAATTTTAAAAAATATATTACTAATAACAATTTTAAAATATTTTAAGTGTTAATAGATAAATTATGTTTATAAATTATTGTATTTTATACTCAAAAAATTTTTTCTGTTATTTATATTTAGTAAAAATCAAATAAAATTTAGATATTTAAAATTATATTTCTTCTCAACAAATAAATTAGAGAGAGATTAACAAAATATATTATAATGAGACAAATCACAATATATATCTACATTTTTCCTAATACAGTGGGTGATCGGTTAACGAACAGATCAGATGATAAACACTTTCACAAAAGATTTTTATGTTTGGACAATGAACACATGATCAGATAACGAACACACCACAGAACAAAAACAAGAAGAAGCGATGTAAAATAATGAATACCGATTGATTTTCCCTTGTCTTCAGGTAACAATTTGAAACTTTACCAGAGTGTGGGAGATGTCGATATTGACGCACAAGCCGGTATATACCAATCGGATAGTATTCCTCCGAACTTTGAAACTCTCCTTTGTAATTCCTTTTCTGATAAAACAATTCTTTTATGTATTTGTGAGACTGTTGGGTAGGCACTTGTTAAGTTTTGCATCTTGTTTTTCTTTTCGAAAGGTGAGAGTATAATAGCAAAGCTAGAGAGTGGGCAGAAGATGTCTGATGTTGCTAGGCAATATGGCTTGAACAAGTGTACAGTAGGCTGCAGTTCAATCTTATTTAAGAAAAATACTGTATAATCAAGAAGACTCAAGCAGCTAAAGCAGTAACAAAAATCACATCTGAGAAATAAAGAACATCGAAGAGTTCATAAGGGAACCTGAAACGGGTCTGATGACAGAAGAAGCTATGAACTCTTGAATGAAGAACACCAAGAAACTCGGTGAGATATGTTTTCTTCTGAAAAAGAGGATTAATGCCGATATTAGTTATTAAAGGTCCTTTGAAGAAGTGGGAGAATGTCAGAAAAACGGTCTTAGAATGGCATCCAAACCAGGTTGAGGCTTGGAGATTTCTACAATTGCAATGCTATTAATTACTTCCGAAAAATCCTGAAGAGAGAAAAGCAATTGACATTAGACAGATTATTTAACGTTTTCAAATGGAAAAAACATGACTAATAAAAAAGCAAGACTGTGTATGTATGTATTTTTATTATTACATACAGGTATACCTCGCCTTACGTCGGTAATTGGTTCCAGGAAAACGACTTAAGTCGAAAAACGACGTAAGTCGAATTTACTTGTTTCCGAATCTACTTGTCACTAGGCTAAACCATAAATTACCATTCCTGGTTTTGTATTTTATTTATTACTGCATTTTTAATAATATATGGTTAATAAGAATCTATTTTAAGCTTACAAACAAATAAATTTTAGTTTTTAATATAGTACAGAAAAAAGTAATCTAAATTTACGAATGCATGTACTGTACTGTAAATACAGTACATACTTGTAAATGTATATATTTTAATATGATTTTATGTGCTTTAAACGCTTTTCTAGTGATATTACGACTTCAATATTTGTGGCGGACAGACGTAAAGTCAAATAAAATGACTTAAACTTGATTTTTATTTATCCATATACGGTTTTGACAAACGATGTATAATCGGGAACGACGTAACTCGAAACGACGTAAGTCGAGGTATACCTGTATAAATAAACATAGTAAAAAAGTACAGTGAAAACTGCCTAGGCGACCACCTGCATTTGACGGGCACCTGTCAAAACGGGCAAAAATTTCTGGCATGGAATAGTTTATCCATAGAGTCATCGTATAAGTTACCTGTATTAAACAACCACCTGTGTAACGCAACCGCGGGCATTGATTTTTGGTCCAAAACAACATACAACAACTGTAATAAGCGACCACTTCCGCAAATATATCTGGTCTAAACTATTGTTCAACAATGTTTCCCCCTTCTCCCACCCTTGAAATTAGGTACAGGTGTTAATGAATTAGTCTAGCAATAAAGGAAATTCATTTGTTTGTTCGAAATTGTCCAAAAAACGAAAGAAATGCAAAGTGCTGTTGTTAGAAGATCGTGTTAAAGTTATCACAACAGCAATTAGCGGCAAAGTTTAACTGTGGGAAAATGAAATTTATTAGTAGACCTACAGTATTTTCCTTGGGGGTATAAAATATCGTACACGATACCATTAATTGGCTGATCTCATCGTTTGATAAATTTTATTTTTATTTATTTATTTATTTTGAAACTCATATACAGTACATGTGTGATAAATAGTTTCTGTATCAACCTACCTTATTTCCACGATATTTTTATAAAAATAATATCCAAGTAATTTTTGCGGGCAAAATATTCAAAAAACAATAAACGCATTAATGCAAAAATCAGTTTTACAGGCAGCCTTCCTTTTTCGATTCCGCAATGACAATGTGGCATGTAATGAAATTGTATAATGTGAAAAAAATAATAAAATCGTTTTATTATTAATTAATAATTTTTGTTATTGTACTTAAGAAAATATTAAATATTAAAAAAATACAGTATTTTTAAAGTTAAAATAAGATTAAACTAACGAATACCAAAACCAAAGTGATGTAGAGATACGACGCGCATGTATATCGCTGACATAATACATGTAACTGAGGAGCGAACGAAAACAACCAAGTCGAATCAATTAAGTCGGAAAAAAGAAAGTGTGCATTATATTCAAGAAAATGCAACTATTTTATTAATCTTTAAAATATTAGTATTAAATCTATCTTATAAAATCACGACGACTCCTGTAAATCAAGTTATCCGATAAGAATAAAATACACCTTGAGTTTTGCTTAGTAAAATATGTATGAAAATACGGTATTAGAGCACCACCTGTATTGGACGACCACCTGTCTAAAAGACCACTTTTTGAAGGAACCGTGGGTGGTCACCATAGACAGGTTTTACTGTATATATTTTTCATTTTTGGGTGTCTCCAGAATGAATTAATTAAATTCCCATTAAAACGTATGGTAAAATCGATAATTGGTTAACGAACAATTCAGATAGTGAACAAAGTCTTGGAATGGATTATGTTCGTTAACCGATCACCCACTGTATTATAATTTTATTAATTTTAAGAACAAGTCAAAAACATTTAATTGATTAGCATTTTTTAGATTTCTCAGATCTCTTCTAGAACATCAATTTTAGAAAACAATGTAATTTAAAAATATCCAAATCTTTTAATAAAGATCTTTTTTTCCTTTAGCCATTTTTAAATTTATTAGTATACTTATTTAACTATTTTATATTACAAACAATAATTATTATTTAAAGTATTTTATATACTTTATTTTATTTTATTTTTTAATACTTTTTATTTTAAATATCAAATCAATAAAGGGAGAAATTTAAATTCCAAAATTAATTTATTTACAATAAATAATTTAAACTCACTTTTTTCACAACTAAAAACAACTTTAACAAAATCATTATTTATTATGTATAATTAAAACAAATTTATTTATTTAATTAAAACAATATTTACTGAATGATGAAATGTGTGATCACCAGGTAAATATTCATAAATCTCAAAAATTTTTCAGAAAAAGCTATTTAATATTCAAATGACTGCTGTGTATAAGGGATTTATAATAGGAAAAGGTTTGGTGCAAATTTGGAAAGAGAAATGGGTGCATATGTACAGTACTTATTTAATTTTAGAGCAAAATCATTGATTTCCTTGATATATCAATCTAAAATTAAGTAAATATGGACTTTAATCCAAATGCCACAGAAACATTCTAATGTACAGGGTTTGGTTTGATTTATTTGTTTATGGCAATGTGACATGCAGGCAATCTGTCAAGGAAAGATGCCTCCCAGGAGGACTTTCTCAGGGAAAACAACTCTTATTTAGGTGTTACTACAGTAGATCGTCGTTTATCCAAAAGCCAGTTATCCAAAACGTCGGTTAACTGAAAGCATTCCAGTCAGCAAATTTAAATTTTCACTAGTGCTGTGGCGCTGCAATCTTTGGCTATGTCTTGGCTACTCCAATATTTTTTTTGTTTGTGTGTGTTTTAGCTGGCAGCACTGGCATTGTTGTGTAGTGTTTTTCTGAGGACTCTGTGTCAAGATGTGTGTCATGCTTAATCAAATCGTTTTTGATACTAGATTAACTTCTAAAATATAATTTTTTTTGTTTTTATATTTTTCAATATATTTATTTTGTTTGTACAAAATAAAGAAATAATTTTTAACGATACAATAGCCACAGTTATTATAATAAAAATTTTCGTTAGGCTTAACATCGACGAAAATTCAATGCGAAGCGACATGCAACGGAGAAAAATTTCAACATGGGATACGTTAATATATTTTTTCATATATAAATCAGTTATCCGAAAAATAAGTTATCCAAACAACTCCAGTCCCCCAATTGATTCGAATAAATGACGCTCTACTGTAATGTGAAGAAAACCTAAAAATGTGACCAGCTTGTTGGCAAGGTGCAAACCCATAACAAACTACAAGTGTTCAATGGTTTTATCCACTTGGCCTGTACATTAGAGCCTGGTGGGCTCTAGCATACAGGGTGTCCCCCATAAGTCTGGAATCATAGAAGATATAACAATCTTTGTTTACTCTTTTACAGGTAAATCATGGCACTAATAAGGAACAAATTCGTTATTTAAATGGTAAATTCCTGCAATAAGCAAGAAATCACCAAAGAGTTAACCGGGTTGCATTCAGATTTCCTACCAATCTGGATGTAGCCTATTATATTCTTTGATGATGTCAGGCTGACTGCAGATCCTACTATTTAAATAGCTTAAATTCATTCCTTCTGACTCAGTGCTTTGTTTTACTTGTAAAAAATAAACAAATATTGATATAACTTCTATGGTTCCAGACTTAGGGGACACCCTATATAAATCTGATATTACAAAAAAGAAAATTTATAAATGAGAAATTTATTTAATATAAATTAACTCACACTAATTTATCATTCTTGGTAATATATTCACAAATATCTCCAAAGAATGCCATGTTTCCTAATATTCCCACGATTATTTCCTAGAATAAAAAAAAATTAATTAATAAAAATATTGTTTTAGAAGATCAATACTGTATTACAGATGTAGAATGGGTCAGCAATCTATTTACGATTCAATCTATCTAAAAACTGATTGAAACTTATGATAACTTAATTTTTAATATCCATTCCTTACCAAAAAGTATATCATTAATTTATTTATTAAAAAAAGATAGAAAATAAAATTATCAATCTAATGTGAAAACAGTGTTATTAATACAGTAAACACCCTGATTATGAACATCCTAATTAATGAACGAAAGCATCACCAATTCTCCTTTGTAATAACATGTAATTTCCATCTGAAATAACAAACAATTTTTGACAGGCTGTCCAAATTAATAAACTCATCTTTCTCACCATATTCACAATTTTCTCACACTACAGAAATTAATGACATCATTTTCCAAAAGTCATTAGGTAGCATTGTATGCTATGCAGATGTCATATAACAGATTTTTAAGGTCTTTTAACTGTCATTTACTCTAAAAATGATCTGTCTAATGTCTTGACACTGTATTTTCTGCATTCTAGTCTTCTGTCATTGGCACAGCAAAACTTCTCATAAATTTTGCCTTCTGAAGACTTCATACATTTAGATCATCACAGCTATAACAGTTTTTCTCAAACATGCATTCATTGAGGTTATTATACTGTAATACATATTCTATGGTATACTATACTCTATTTACAGTACAATATGAAGTAATTAATTGTAAATTCTGTTGTTCTGCAGTACCATGACTAGAAGCATTGCCAAAGATCAGTGTAAGAGTCTTTTCTCACAAATAAATTATAAATTCTGAAAGTCATTGATGAGAAATGAAAGAAAATAGAGATAGCTCAGAAATCTGGTATTTTCAAATTGAGCCTATCAGCAATCATTGCAGGTCATACAAAAATTGAAAAAATGCATGTTTTCCAGATTGAAAAATAGATCAGATTGACCAATAAATTAATTTTTCAATAATTAACATAATCCATTGGTCACATAATTATGCAGTAAGAATCAGCCCACTATCTTAGAGAATCCAGGTTTAAATATAATTCAGACTTTCATAATTTATATTAGTAGTATAACCTTTGGGTGTTGTTTCCTATCCTTCATGAATGCAAACTAAGACCCCATGCAATTCAAATCATTTACAAAGTTTGAAATTATGGCTCATGATATGGTCTTCATGTACTAATTACTAATGTCTTATATTGACCAATTACCCAATCAATCATTAACATAACATTATAATTTTGAATGAGGTGATGATTTATACAATTTATTGTTTTTAAATGTTATAATTAAATTATTCTAAAATAATTATTTTAGTTAACAAATAATGTATTAAGAGAAATTAAAAATNATTGCAAAAATCATAGACGACTCAACAAATAAATTAGAGAGAGATTAACAAAATATATTATAATGAGACAAATCACAATATATATCTACATTTTTCCTAATACAGTGGGTGATCGGTTAACGAACAGATCAGATGATAAACACTTTCACAAAAGATTTTTATGTTTGGACAATGAACACATGATCAGATAACGAACACACCACAGAACAAAAACAAGAAGAAGCGATGTAAAATAATGAATACCGATTGATTTTCCCTTGTCTTCAGGTAACAATTTGAAACTTTACCAGAGTGTGGGAGATGTCGATATTGACGCACAAGCCGGTATATACCAATCGGATAGTATTCCTCCGAACTTTGAAACTCTCCTTTGTAATTCCTTTTCTGATAAAACAATTCTTTTATGTATTTGTGAGACTGTTGGGTAGGCACTTGTTAAGTTTTGCATCTTGTTTTTCTTTTCGAAAGGTGAGAGTATAATAGCAAAGCTAGAGAGTGGGCAGAAGATGTCTGATGTTGCTAGGCAATATGGCTTGAACAAGTGTACAGTAGGCTGCAGTTCAATCTTATTTAAGAAAAATACTGTATAATCAAGAAGACTCAAGCAGCTAAAGCAGTAACAAAAATCACATCTGAGAAATAAAGAACATCGAAGAGTTCATAAGGGAACCTGAAACGGGTCTGATGACAGAAGAAGCCATGAACTCTTGAATGAAGAACACCAAGAAACTCGGTGAGATATGTTTTCTTCTGAAAAAGAGGATTAATGCCGATATCAGTTATTAAAGGTCCTTTGAAGAAGTGGGAGAATGTCAGAAAAATGGTCTTAGAATGGCATCCAAACCAGGTTGAGGCTTGGAGATTTCTACAATTGCAATGCTATTAATTACTTCCGAAAAATCCTGAAGAGAGAAAAGCAATTGACATTAGACAGATTATTTAACGTTTTCAAATGGAAAAAACATGACTAATAAAAAAGCAAGACTGTGTATGTATGTATTTTTATTATTACATACAGGTATACCTCGCCTTACGTCGGTAATTGGTTCCAGGAAAACGACTTAAGTCGAAAAACGACGTAAGTCGAATTTACTTGTTTCCGAATCTACTTGTCACTAGGCTAAACCACAAATTACTAATTCCGGTTCTGTATTTTATTTATTAATGCATCTTTAATAATATATTTATTAATAAGGATCTATTTTAAGCTTACGAACAAATAAATTTAGTTTTTAATATAGTACAGAAAAACGTAATCTAAATTTACGAATGCATGTACTGTAAATACAGTACATACTTGTAAACGTACATATTTTAATATGATTTTATGTGCTTTAAACGTTTTTATAGTGATATTACGACTTCAATATTTGTGGCGGACAGACGTAAAGTCGAATAAAATGACTTAAACTTGATTTTTATTTTTCCATATACTTTTTT